ATGATATTAATGAATAACCATACAATCAATGATACTAATGAATGAGGTCACTTATACTCAATTGATGAATACATAAATGAGCTAACTGATATTGATGAATAATAGTTCCTTTTACAACAGAAGAAACAAATTGATGAACAACAAGAACATTAAAACTCATGATTATATAACCCATATTTCCAACTAACAACATGATGAATAACCATATAACAGATGAATAACCATACACAACGGATGGATAACCAAATTGATGCACAACAACATTAAACCTAAAATTATAAAACTCAGATTTCCAACCAACAACAACATGATAAATATCCATATACAACGGATGAATAACCATACACAAACGTGTGAATAACCAAATTGATAAATAACAACATTATTACGAATCACACACTATGATTGATGAATAATCCACTGAACTGGTGAATAAATCCATTTTAAGATCCAAAAACAAATGAAAGAAAAAGAACATCATAATTATTGAATGTACAGTGCTTAGATCTATGAAACCTAACAACAAAAACAAAAGTTGAAGAGATTATTAGGAAATACCTCTGCCCCATCTAGGTTTTCGATGTGCTTTTCTTCGGAAAAAGAATTGATTTTTCCATCCCTCTACATGATGAATAACAGATTAAAATTTAAGATTAAAACTCAGAATTATAAAACCCAGATGAATAACAACATGATGAATAACCATACACAACGGATGAATAACCAAATTGATGGACAACAACAACATTAAATCCCAGAATTATAAAACCCAAATTTCTAACCAACATCAACATGATGAATAACCATACAGAACGGATGAATAACCATAGACAAACGGATGAATAACCAAATTGATGAATAACAACAACAATATTACGAATCACACACTATATTTGATGAATAATCACGCTGAAACTGGTGAAAAAATCCATTCTAAGATCCAAAAATAAATGAAAGAAAAAGAACATCATAATTATTGAATGTACAGTTCTTAGATCTATGAAATCCAACAACAAAAAATAAAAGTTGAAGAGATTATTAGGAAATACCTCTGCCCCTCTGAATTCATAAATCTTCTGGTAATTCACCAAATCTGAATCCATTTCTGATGATTCTTCAAGGAAGATCTAAAACAAACCAACAAATAGAAACCCATTGATTCATCAAAAAAAGATCTTAAACAAATCCACAAAGAGAAACCTACAAAAAACAAATGAATAAGATGATTTATTACCGTAATCCTCGCTTTAATTTGTATTTACTCGATTATAAAATCCAGATTTTTTATGTACAAAGTTGATTCTGAGAGCGCAATTTGAGAGAATTTCGTTCTTGCTTGAGCGGTTATAAAAGCAGAAAAATGAGAAAAAAAATTAGAGTAATTGGGTATTTATATTTTTTGTTATGTGGATTTGAAAATTGAAAAAATCCAAAAAAGGACTATTATTAGAGGTGTTTTGGAGCGTGAAAGACAAGTTAAGTTATGTGTACCTAGTGCTCCTTATTATAACTGTAGATAGAACTACTTAGTACTAAAAGATAGAGATTATTAATATGATCAGTGCTAATTCGATAAATCTCGGTTAGAGTATAATTCAAACTGGTCTTACAATATATATAGTTGACCAGGATATAGATGACATTTCACCATTATCAACACCCAGGAATTAAGGACAAAAGAGTAAAATGAACGCCAAAACCCGTGAAATCCTGAAAATAGAACAATAATTCTTGAGATATTTTTCCACTCAACTTACGCATATGACGACATTTAAATTATCGGTAGATCTAATACAACCTTTTCGACTAGCTAATCACTTTAGAAAAAACAGCGCTCAAATGCCGCGTGAAAGTAACTCTCTCTATTTCACAAGCGGGGCTTACATGGTTTCGATGTATTATTTGTGCAGTAAAATTTACACGTGCAAAAGAAGGAGCGTGGAGGGAGGAAATTATGGGTCAGTGCCTTAGAAAGGAAGAGACAAAACTGGTGTAAAGCATATTGGCAGCAAGTCACATGAAATAACCTGTCGGCATGTGAATTGCCAGCCTAATCCAAATTTCCAAATCTCCGATGTTTTAATTCTCATTTCTCAAACTCTCCAGCTCCAGAAGGTTTGTGAAATTGTGGCATGACTACTGGAATAGTGAAACTGCCATGTGTTTACTGGATGGTGATAGTGAATTTTTTCTATTATGATAGTTTAATATTTTAGACTTTGATCTTCTTCATTATACCATAAAAAAAAAAAAACTCTAGTAATCTGGCCTAGGAAAATATAAGAAAAAAATTTAATCAAGAGGAAGCAGTTTTATAGCACTCTCGTGAGGTTAAAAGTTCAATTCTAACGTCCATTACTTGTGATAATTGGACTAAGCAAACAAAAGAAGTGTTAAAAAAAACTATGATCATGAGAAGTGTATAAATGATACCTCTCTAATCTTTATACTCCCTCCGTCGCATAATTATTGTCCAGTTTTACTAAAATGAAAGATTTTATTTTTGGTCAAACTTAACTATATTTTACCTTTAACAACTGGATATACCCCTACATAAGTAATTGTTTAACCACTAAGATTTATGGATAATGTTTTTTACTAAGGATAAATGTGTAACTTGATCCATAAAAAGTCAAATTTGACAATAATTTTGGGACAAAATTTTTTGGGCAAAGTGGACAATAATTATGGGACGGAGCGAGTATAATGTTTGTATAATGTTTTACATACTACAATGTTTCATTTGTTTATGTAAAAGACAATCAAAACAAAAGCAAGAAAATAAAATGACTACCTATACAAAAATAGAAGAAAATACATAGCCGGTGCAATTTGATTTGATGTTCCATCTTTTGAGAGATCCTTTCGTAGCTTGGGGTCAAAGCATCTTATCCTACTCATTATGAATCAATTTGAAATTACTAAAAACAGCTATTATAGCTTTCTGTTAAGTTTAGTAAAGGTCCAGAAAATCAGATACATATAATTTCCCAAGTTTCATCAAACTCTGAATTCAGACCGACTAAGAAGTAGCAGCCAATTTTGTTCCTTTCGTAGTAAAGAAATTAGAGATTGAACTATTTACTTTTAGTCTTTTGGAGGAGGATTTGGGGATTGTTATTTCGGTGAGGTAAGATAAAGGTTGATACATGTGTATATTTATGTGGTACAATTTGTAATTTTTAAATTTTAACGTACGAAACTTTTGTTGGGACAAAACAAAAAAGAAATATTCCCTCGCTCCTACAAAAATAATTGAAAGTATTAATTGTAAACTAGATGCTTGTCCCGGGCAAATGTCCGGGGCGTCCTCCTACTTAATAAATTAATATGTAAATAATCAAAACTGATAGGAATGAATTTAGTTTTTGATGAAGATAATTGATTGATCGAAAATTAATTTTTTAGAAAGTCCTAAATAAGTGGAGAAGGAAAGTTCCATTGACTGTCAAATTCAAAATTTAAATGAACATGGCCATCTGATATCTTCGTTAATATTGTAAATATATTTTTTGTTTTTAAAAGGAGGTGATATGTGGCAGCATGGTTTATGCAATATGGTGCATTTGGAGCCAAAACCTTTTAATAAGAAATTACCACATCATCATCTTGTTTTCTGCTTTAATAGGGTAAAAGAGATATGAATCAATTTGAAATTACTAAAAACAGCTATTATAGCTTTCTGTTAAGTTTAGTAAAGGTCCAGAAATCTAGATACATATAATTTCAAGTTTCATCAAACTCTGAATCCAGACCGACTAAGAAGTAGCAGCCAATTTTGTTTCTTTCGTAGTAAAGAAATTAGAGATTGAACTATTTACTTTTAGTCTTTTGGAGGAGGATTTGGGGATTGTTATTTCGGTGAGTAAGATAAAGGTTGATACATGTATATATCTATGTGGTACAATTTGTAATTTTTAAATTTTAACGTACGAAACTTTTGTTGGGACAAAACAAAAAAGAAATATTCCCTCGCTACTATAAAAATAATTGACAGTATTAATTGTAAACTAGATGCTTGTCCCGGGCAAATGTCCGGGGCGTCCTCCTACCTAATAAATTAATATGTAAATAATCAAAACTGATTTGGAATGAATTTAGTTTTTGATGAAGATAATTGATTGATCGAAAATTAATTTTTTAGAAAGTCCTAAATAAGTGGAGAAAGAAAGTTCCATTCACTGTCAAATTCAAAATTTGAATGACATGGCCATCTGATATCTTCGTTAATATTGTAAATATATTTTTTGTTTTTAAAAGGAGGTGACACGTGGCAGAATGGTTTATGCAATATGATGTATTTGGAGCCAAAATCTTTTAATAAGAAATTGCCACATCAACATCTTATTTTCTTCTTTAATAGGGTAAAAGGGATTATACTAAAAATTTTACAATGTACAATTTTCAATACGGATTATTTGATGCATGGAACCGATGGAGTGAAAAATAAATAAATAAATAAAGGGTGATATGAATAGCAGCGTTTTAGTTTTTTGTTGTGGTCAAGACTTCATTATCGCATTTTTGGCCATGTTTGGCTCGGAAAACGTAGATCTCCTTTGAAAAAAACCCCAAACACATGTTTGGAGCTCAAAACATGTTTTTGTTCCCAATACCACCATCTAACACTTTTTGCCACGATACGATCACCGTCACCTCATAGGGGCACTTGTGTTCAACCACTTACTTATTGGTCAAAATTTTGGCCTAGTTATTTGAAGTATGAACAAGTGGAGATTTGGAAAGTTTTTGGAAACTGTCTTCAAATCAATAGTTTAAAGACTAACCTGCAAACTTATTCTTTATATTCTGTCAAATTTCACTTTTGGTCTCTTACACCAATCAACATGTATAATATATATATATATATATGCATGGTTCATTCACAGTGAAGAGATTTACCTAGTTCGAGTAAGAGTGTGCTAAGTGGTACTTGGCAAAAGGCTATAAGTTTTACTACTTGATTGTTATAATGCCTTTTTTTTTTTTTTTTTAAAGAAATGATACGTAACCCTGAACAAGGACATCCGAATTTGTGTTCCTTGAAACATTTTAATCTCAGGTTTCAAGGATGTAGAACAAGCAGTACGAATGCAAGAGTTGAAATAAATATAAGGAGATTTGGTGTCTTCGGAACAAAGAAAAGGTTCCGATATAAACAACAGTTTTATCATAAATTTAGTACTAGTATAGTAGATTCGACAAAGTTTTCCCCATTTTTTTAAGATCCAAATTGCCAAACAAATCTAAGAATTCTAAAACAGAAAACTTATTAGTCATGCTCCATGATTCTTCAAAACGCATGATTCAATAACTCCCTAGGACACAAAATCAAATTAAACACTTGTGCTAAAATTCAACTTTCTCCATTTCAAAATGAATATCATATTATAGAGTTGTCACATAAAAGATTAACAAATGAGTTTATCTAGATGGCTAACTGTTTTCCTTTTTGTGTCATTTCCTAAACTTTTATTAGCAAAAACTAATCTCTTTTGTATTAATTATTTGATTAAGAGTACAAAAGGGCAAATCTCAGGAAAGACACAGAAACAGCAAATTGAAAATATAAAAAGATATCAAATTGAAGATATGAATTTAAATTTACACTTATTTTAAATTGAGGAGAGTAAATTCATCTACCTTTAGATTAAGTTAAATGTCTCTTCTCTTTATAAACAGGATTTCATGATTTCTTTTCCCTTTTCAGCTCAAATTAATATATAACATGAAAAGAAAGATGATTTTCATCCCAAAGATAGATATCCACTATGTAAAAAGAGCTTTACCATGCATCATTATAGGCAGATCACCAAGGAAAACTGTGATTGGTCCAATAAGAACTATCAACACTGTTAGTTCCACTTCTTTGAAAACCAACGGGCTGGAGCCTGGAAACCCACTAGTTTAATTACCAAAACCATTTAAATTAACAAACCCCTCTTTAAAAAAAACACAAAAACAAAACAAACAAAAACAAAAACAATGAACATCCAGTAGAACCTATAAATTAATGTTCCTTTCATTTCAAAATAATAATCTAGCTTCATAAATTGGACCTAACATGTAGAGCTAAACACGGTTTTCAGTTGAAAACAAACAAATTATTCGATTGTACTAGGTATAATTAAACATTTGTATCTATGCAACGTGGACATTTTTTCTAGGATGGGAGGAGTATATATACATTAAAATGAATGACGAGCAATATTCAGAATTATTATTTAGTGAATGAAGTAGTTGAAAAGATTTATAACAGTTTGATTAATTAATTATTTTAAATTTTCTTAATAAAACCAAAATTAGGGAGTTCACAAAGTATGACATTTAGGCTCGTGCATGGATTAAAATTATCTTTTAACATGCCAAAAAAATAAAATATGTCAACTATTAAATTTATGAGAATTGGAGAATTTGTTATGTCTCCAAATAATTGTTTGGCCCAAATACAACAATCATTTATGACAGACCGAGTATACAATAAACCAAGTGATTGAATTACAGACTGCCGTTGGTCTCTCTTCAATGGAAAAAAGAAAAAGAAAAGTCGCTTTTAATTAGCATTATTGTATAGATAGTAATGATTTAGGTAAATTGATCGTATAATTCTATATTCATAACCTACAGTCAAGCAGTAAACTGTTGTTTCTGTATTTGTTGTTCTCAAGCTCAGCTATGAGATTAATCAAGAAAACTGTTGTTCTCCTGGAAGAAATTGCCCTAACTGCATATTTTGCTTCATTACGTCCCAAAAAAAGTAGTATTATACTATTGTTAGTTATAATCGACTCCACTATTAAACCCGGAGGGGGAGTTGTAAGTTCAAAATTTAGAGCTAGAATACTATAAACTCTGTTATATACGAAAATTATTGTAGCTTGTTAAAGGTTGAATCAGAGAACAAAGAATCCCGAGATTGAAAAGAAAGAGAAAGCTGATATGCGAATGAACTGAAAATTGTCATGTTGATCAAAATTGTCGATTTTTCGCAATTGATTTTTAACTTTTTACTGATTATTGTTTCTATGGTCTGTTTCAGGCTAGAGAGAATTAAAGAACTGAAAAAGCTCAAGGCTGCACAAAAAGCAGAATCTGCTAAACTTCAGGTACCTATTTCACTCAGTCCCTTGTTTACTTATATTCCTGAAATGATCCAACCATTTTCTTTTTTTCCCATTTGCAAATTCATATATTCTGCTGTATATATATTAAAAAAAAAAAGCATGTTAGCTAGTTTTGTTAGTGATTCTGCTGTCTGTGCTGAAGGCACATCAGTCTTTCAATGCTTTGAAAGAAGGGAAGAAAAAGAACACGAAAAGAGAAGGCTTGGAAGATAATCCTGAAGATTATGTTGATCCAGTGACACCATCAGGTGAGAGGAAACAGCTTTCTCATCGAATGGTGAAAGCATACCATCCAACATCGGTAGAGAGTTCGTCAGTTATTGAAATATGTAAGTTTTCTTAAGAGCTAAAAAATTATCACAGTTACTTTGCTTCTGCTAACCGTTAATTGAGTTGAAATTATTACATTAGGTGGTATGAGTGGTGGGAGAAATCAGATTTTGTTTTTTTTTTTTTCAGATGCCAGCAGTTCAAAGCCTACCTTTTTGCGATTGTGAGTTATTTCATCTAATCATTTCATCACTGAATGTTACATTTTGCCATATTGATAAAACTTTAGAACTTAACTGAGTTGTACTGTTAGTATACTTTTCGTGGTGGAGAGCTGTATTAGCTTTGATGCTTATGCTTCTTAATAACCTTCTACATGTGATTCCTTCATCTAGTGTGTCTTTTCTTGACTCAAGGTTCTGCCACCACCGAATTTGACTGGAGCCTTACATATTGGCCATGCTCTTACTGTTGTTGCAATTCAGGTAATTTCCAAGGAAAGGTTTAGGCTATTCAGCAGGGGATTGTTTAATGAAGATATAACCCGTATTGATAGTAGTAATGACTGTTTGCAGGATACTATGATTCGCTGGCGAAGGATACCTGGGATGGATCATGCTAGCATTGCAACTCAGGTAAACATGTGGTTCAACTTAGTACTCTTCAGTGTATGGTAATTTTGTTCTTAAATCAGTTTGTGTATGCATGTATTGATTGGCAAAAAGGATAGAATATTTTGGATCATTGTTTTCTGATACATTGCAGAAGAAATTAACAGGATTTTGTGCAGAAGGTTTAGCTGAAAACTGAAGTTTGACTATGACTCTTGAAACATAATAAACTTATTTCTCTGTTTCAATCTTCAAAGTAAAAGAAATCATGTGTACATATATGTACTCTCCATCCCAAAATAACAGTCCGTTTGCTGTACTAATAGTTTGTACCGAGGGGTTACCTACCAATGAGATTTTCAGATGTCCTGTTGCTAATGACCTGGAACTGCAGATGAATCTTGTCAGCTTCAAACTCTCAAAACTTTTTAAATACCGTCTCCTCTGATCTCAATGTTATCTTTTCGCAATGCTAGATCGTAGGTTCTGAGTCTAGACATGATGAAATGCAGACACCTTGTGATCAATTTATTCCCCCTCTCAGGTTGTAGTTGAGAAGAAGCTTAAGCGGAAATTGAACAAGGCAAGACATGATTTTAGTCGTCAGGAGTTCATAGATGAAGTCAGTTTCTGCTCTCTTTTTCCCTTTTCCTTTCAACAGCTTTACTTACTGGCAAGGGGTCTGATCCTGATTGTTGTTGCTAAAGGGAAAACAGTATTTTTTTTTTTTTTTCCCTCCTGATCTATTCTATGCACAAACTAATTAATGAATGCATACAGTTATGTTCTTCTGAAAGGTTTGGAAGTGGAAAGCTGAATATGGTGGCACTATCTTAAAGCAATTACGATGTCTAGGTGCTTCTCTTGACTGGTCACCTGAGGTATGATGTATTAATGTTCACCCTTTTCAAGTTACGCCGAGTCCTGGTCTACTGTTATGTATTGCCGTGTAACTTCACATATTCGAGAACAGTGCTTCACCATGTATGAACCTAGATCAAGAGCTGTGACTGAAGCTTTTGTGCGTCTATATGAAGGTCTCATTTACAGGTTAACAGATTAAAACTGAGTTTCTTCTCTCCTTCCTGTTAATTATTGTTGTCCTTTTGTATGTTTCGATGAATTTAGTGGTCATGCCATGATATATATTATTCTGTGTAAGTCAATACTTTTATCATACTCCAATTAGTTTTGAATGTATTCTTATTTTTACTGATGATGGGATGGTAAATAGCAATGGAGGAGGCCAAGAATTTGCAGGTATGCCTCGATTTGAAGCACACGTGGCCATAACTGAAGCATTGAAGATAAAGGTGCTTCTTCAATCTTCCTTCTCTCTATTTAGTTTATCTGCTTGATTTGCATTCTGAAGTTTAGAAATTTTGGTTCTCCATATCTCTGTTACCCGGACTCGGCTAGTTATGCCGTAGTACCCGTGAAATCCAGACACTGCTAGTTTTGAGTCCGACACCGACACGTGTGTGTAATCCGGACGGGTGCAATCAGCATTATTTGGGTCCGTTGACTTTATGTGGCGGAGATTTCGGCGATCTGTTCCTTCTGGAGAGCGGTGGCGCTTGAGGAAGAAGATGCCCTTATTAGGCTCGAGTCGACACCGACACGGGTGTAAAATCCGGACGGGGTGCGATAGCATTATTTGGATGCGTTGACTTTGTGTGGCGGAGGTTTAGGCGATCTGTTTCTTCTGGAGAGCAGTGGCGCTTGAGGAAGAAGATGCTCTCATTGGGCTTATATTTTATTAAGAAATTAAATTGGGCCTGGAGGTCTGGATTAATTGAAAAATTCTTGGCCATGTTGATTCAAATATATATATAACTATAAATACAAAATAGACTTAATTTTGTAGCTCAACTACACAGATTATATTTTTTATCCAACTTTAATCACAAAATAATTATAAAAAAACAAATCTTTTGTCTAATTTTATAATTTTTAGGTATGTATTAGTTTTGAAAATAATGGGAGTTAAAAATTGAAATAATGCTATAATTTCATAAAAAGAAAAAAAAAAGAAGCTAAAAGATCCATTTAAACCATCATAATATATATATATATATATATATATATATATATTGAATTAGTTGCTGGAAGTATTCCCGTACCTGTATCCGGATCCAAATCCGTACCCGCGTATTCTGATTTTTCAAAATTTATGAATCGGATACTTAGGTCCCCTGTCGCACCCGACTCTCATACCCGAGTAACATAGCTCCATATAAAAAGGCGCAGTTGGAAATTTCTTTTACTCCCTCTGTCTAATTTTAACAGTGCAATAGTACCATAAAGTAGGCTATTAAAATGGGACGAAGGAATATTAAAAGTTCACAAGTTAGTTTTACATAACAATATCAGTTTCTTTCCATGTAAGGGCTCTTTCAAGATTCAAAGGAAATTGAGATGCGTGTTGGCATTTGTTCCAGGAGCAATGATGTAGGGGAACCCCTCATAAAGCCTCAGTGGTATGTCAACTGCGCAGAAATGGCCAGGAAAGCTCTTGCTGTCATTGATGATGATAAAAGGAAAATGGAAATCTTTCCTAGGCTAACGCTTATGGAAGAGGTAGATCCGGAACTATTATCAAGATGTGTAATTTAGCTGTAGTTTCACAAATGTGGTTTCCTTGCAAGTTATAAATGTTTTGGATGTCGTAGATGGTTTTCGAATATTCATGATTGGTGCATCTCAAGGCAGCTTTGGTGGGATTCCTGCATGGTATGCAACATTGGAAGACAATGAGCAAAAGGAAGTTGGTTCATATACAGATCATTGGGTGGTTGCTTAAGGCTCCAAAGTGCCTGAACAGGAGGCTACTCGTAAATTTTGTGGAAAGCAGTTCCAGTTGTGTCAGGATCCTGATGTGCTAGACACTTGGTTTTCTGCCGGTCTATTTTCATTCTCCGTTTTGGGATGGCCAGATGATACAAAGATCTAAGGGCATTTTATCCAACTTCTGTTCTTGAAACTGGTCATGATATTATCTTTTTCTGGGTGGCAAAAATGGTTATGATGGGAATTAAGCTGTGTGGTGATTTGCCTTTCAGACAGGTTAGCATCCTACACGGCTATATTACTTGATTAAGACACTTACTAGACGATTTTGTCTAGATTAAGTTGAGTTCCTTTCTATCTGGCAATGCCTTTTAACAAAAACAAAATTTTGATTTTTAATACGATCTTGGTTCTGTTCTCGATCTGCATGTGTTATGCGATGATTATTGGTGACGAAGCATGGATCTGCACGGTGTCTTAGGACGGGCGGCGACGATGATCTAGGTGGCGGCGGACGGCCTTAAACCTGTAAGACAGATACTCGGATGTCTCCCGAGGGTAGACTCTCCGATGCTTAAGTCAATAAAGGAATAGAGAGAGTAGAGAGAGAAGGATGTGTATCGCGTGTAGAAGGTGTAGAAGATAGAAGATATGTCTTATGGGAGAGGTACCACCTCTTTATATAGAGGTGGTGTTACCTGTTTCCTGAAACCCTAGTGGAATAGGTTTAGGCAGTGACTTAATATCCAATTAACCTAATCTTAGGCCCAATAGGTCTAAGGTTAATTTATGACACGTCAATTGGTTTCATTTTAGGACGCATTGGGCTTGTTAGTTTTGTTGCAAGTTTACCTTCATCCAATGATTCATGATGCACACGGCCGAAAGATGTCTAAAGTCCATGGGCAACGTTATTGATCCCCTTGAAGTGATTAAAGGAATAACACAAGAAGATCTTCATAAGAGACTGGAGGATGGCAACTTGGATCGCAGCGAATTGGAAAAAGCAAAAGAGGGACATGTGATTTTTCCAATGGGATTGCTGACTGTGATGCAGATGCTCTTCGTTTTGCACTTGTGTCATATACAGCTCTGGTTCTTCAAACATCTGGAAATCTGTTTTTAGACATTCAACACGTTGTTGGATATCGGCAGTGGTGTAACAAATTATGGAATGCCATAAGGTTTGCTATGAGCAAACTAGGAGATGACTACATCCCTCCAGTCGAAGTAGTAGTTCCGATAGACATTGATGAGAATCATGTAGTCTTTCATGGTGGTTCTCTTAGTGAAGGGAATGAGTTAGTCCTTCTAGTTTTGGGATGCCAAGTTTACTTTGCAGACCAATTAAGGAAGCAAGGATGGATCTTGATTACCTATGTGATAGGGAGTTGGTTCAAGAGAGCTATGATCAAGATGATGAGAATGTCATTAACTTTGGGGTCCAAACCAAAGGAAATGATTCGCTCATGGAAATAAGTGCTCAAGAGTATCAAGGGAGTTTGACTCTAGGTACTCCATGAAGATCATTGATCAAGTTAGAGAGAAGAATCATTTAGGTTCTTGAATGGACGACCTATTTGATCAAAGTCTTCAAGATTGAGTCCATTGCTACACAATTAGATAGGGTACAAACTATCTCAATTGTTTCAAGTGTTTTTCCATTCTTTTGGAGTCAATAAAGAGAATTCTACAAGCTTTGGAGTAAATTGGAGTTATATATAACTTGAGGGCGCAAGACCAATATTTCACTTTTTGGAAGGGCGTTCAAGACATTTTACTTCAACATTTAGAGATGATTTTCAGATTTAAGAGTATTATCTAGTCTAGAAGTTTAATTTTTGGATTTATCTAGTTAAATAAGTCATGTGGACTGAATTAAACTAGAGTGTTTTGATTAGGAGTTTTAGATTTCTTCTAAGTATTATCATATTTGAGGATAAGTCATTTAGATAAGGTTTTCTATATTTTAGATAGAGTCAAAAAGATCAAATACTCTTCTAACTCTACTCCTGCGTGAGATAAGATTAGAGAGTTCTAGTTGGTCTTTTTTTTGGTGCTTATGGCCGAAATTGCTAGCTTATAAATAGGGGGGGTATGGCCGAAAGTTAAAGCACCCGTGTATGGTCATTTTGAGTCTTCTCTGATGAGAGTTTTTCCTGTGAGGAATTTTTGTTAAATGGTGTGTCCATTTTTCATTTGTCAAGTGTGATTTAACCAAGAGGGTTTTCATCCTGTCTTGGATCTTTTGATCTTGCAGAAACCATTCTTTTTCAAGTATGCTTCTTGATAGAATTGTTTTAAAACTAAACTTCTTATTTCCATATTATTTCTAGTAGTTCGAGAGTTGAGCCTTTCTTTTGGCTATAGTTTTCGAGTTCATGATGTGTGTATTCATGAGTTCCTTTGTGGGGTTTGTCCTACTTTTTGTTGGATGAGTTTTGCTTTGGCATAAGTATTTTGAGATACTGTATGTGTTGCATATCTTTGTTGGTTATGAAGATTACTAATCAATAGTATTCCTTCATAGTTGAGCATTGTTTGCTCCTACCTTTCTTGAGTCTCTTGATTGATGACTGATCGAGTATATTGAATAGTGTCCTTACTATTCTTAGTGTGGGTTATTGTTTAATTCGAATCGTTCATAGATTATGTATTCTTTGCTTGGTTTGAGTTAAGAAATAGTAATGCTTAGATAAACAATCGTCTTACTGTGAATTTTCCGCACTCTTTTGAGTTTCACGGGATAGACAAATTATCTTCGTACTTTCTTGTTTGATGGTTGCATTAACGAAATTTGTTTCATCTACGAGATTGCTATCAGACATGCCCTTTAGCTGCCAATGGATTCTCTCTGTGTTGAACAAAGCCATATCTAAAATAGTCCTCTCTCTTGATGCATTTGAATTCTCAGACGCTGCAACAACAGTGTATCATTGGTGGCAATTTCAACTCTGTGATGCTTTTATTGAAGTAATCAAACCATATTCTGCCAATGATGTTGATTCAAAATATTTAAAAGGAAAAAATTTTTTACAAGACACTTTATGGATTGAGATTGCTTCGTCCTGTCATGCCATATGTCACGGAAGAACTGTGGCAACGTCTACCTGCTAGAAGTAGTTGCGAGAGAAAAGAATCCATCATGATATGTGATTATCCAAGAATGCCTGAGGTGAGGCATCAGTTCTGTGTGAAGTTTAGTTTCTGGATAACCAAAGTTTTAGTCATTTAGATAAATTAGAAAGTACTTTTCAAGTCTTCAAACCTTTCTGCAACTTTGTGTCACAAGGTTCGAGTGTTCTTGCACCAAGTAGTATGCCTTTGGCCTAATGATGGGGAATCACAAAGATGAGAGAAGCAGGTATCAACTCATTTTATCTAATGTTGTTTAGTTTTGTGAAAGTTGTTTACTGTTTACACACTCTTGACTCTCTCGTGACTTTCTCCAAGCATGGGCGAATTCTGAAGTTGGATCCGAGATGGGTCTGGTTTTGTTCATTGTGAGATCCTTGAGGTCATTGCTGCCTGCAAATGAAAAAATAGAATGGTATTTATGTTATCCCTTTGTCCCAAAATAAATCCTATTTGCATTACAGCTTTAGTTCAACAAACCGGAATCTTATTTTGGAGCGGAGGGGATCAGTACATTGGGCAACAAAAGACCATCCTATTTCAACTTTTCATGTCAGAAACACTTTCTTGTCTTTGGTGTTTCCTAATTTCAATGGGACATATATGAACAGCTACATTACTTGTTAGGTTTTACCCTATGAAATCTATCCAGACAAGTAGTCATTCAGCTAATTCACTGTTGAAGAATGAGAATTTTCTTTCCTTTTTTTTTTTCATTTGCAAGTCTTTCTTACATATATGATTTACTTCCTTCTTTTCTTTTTATGTTTTTATTTCTGTGTCGCAAATGCCCAATGTCTGTAGCTTATTTTAGATTGAGATGTGCTGAATGATACAATGACCTCCTTCTGTATATAGGTGTAAGGGGTACCTCCTCTGCCAATCTGATCGCGTGACTGGCTTGCAAGACCATGAGTTGGAGATAGTGACGCTGGCATCGCTATCATCACTAGAAGTATCTCCTTAACTCTTTCCGGTCAATGTCATCGCTATCATCACTAGAAGTCATGTTTATTGCACTATATCCCATGTAAGGTTTTGTTCTCCCCTTATGCGCCACTGAACTTTACAGCACTAATAGACCAGTAGTGGATTATAGGTTATTACTTCTTCTGTTTTTGCATGTCAGATACAGATTCTCTTGATTAGTTCTAGGCATGATCGCAACATATATTATCCAAACACAACGTGTATGATTTTATGATTCAGTAAATGGTTTCTAATGTAAGAAACAAACACACTTATTGTGGGATGGAAGAAGTATTTTTTATCATCTTGCTGAATTCTTTCTTATTTACTCTTTGCCATAGTCTGTTTTTCCGTTACTGACCACAAAAAGCTTAAAATTGGAGGTCTTAAGAGAGGTTCGGCGCATTCCAAGTAGATGCACTGTTCTTTCTCTTTTCCTCATACTTGATTACTTACTTTTTAAATTTTTAGACACAAAACCCCGCGCCCCCAATTTTCCCCCCAACTTTACGCAAATTCCAGAAATCTGGCTTCACGATCCATCCAATCTTCCTGTGCTGCTGCAATTAATCATTGCAAATACTCAAATAAGCACACCCAGAACACTTGGACGGATTCATTTCCTTCAATTTCAACTCCTTTTCTAGTTTAAATTCAATCAAAACGATTGGCCAAGTCGTTTGCCACTACCAGCGCCGCTCACCTTCCCTCCGCCGGATCTGAATCCAGAATTTTCTAAGTCCAATAAAGCCCCAATTCAGTGCCTTCTTATCTATAATTTCCAATCAACGCTCCAATCTGGTTCTGACTGCCATCAACGATGATGAAGACGGCAGCCGATGTCCTTCTCCTTCATCCTCTGGTAAATTGATGACTGCCACACTCGGAGATTGTTGTTGCTGCTTTGGTACAGATTTGATGGAATCAACGACCTCCAATTGAAGAAGCTTTTCTTGAAGTCACAGATTCATTCTCGAAAGCTTGGTGTTTGATAATTTTGTGGGTCTCGCGCTTTCTAAAATTGGGTGCTTCTAATAGAAGAATTGAGGATTGCTACTCATGGAAAGGTTAATAAATATTTCTCTCATGCCAAATGTATACTGCAACAGCAGAATTCCTTACAAATTTCAGCTTTGGGTTTTGCCATCCCAAAAGCAATAGCCATCGGAGAGTTACTTAAATGTCATTTTACTGATCTTCAACAAAATTTATCTACTAAAATGACAAATGGGATGTCTACCATTTCCATGACTTTGAGCAAAGTTGCATCTCCAGAAAGGGGGTCTCCAACTAAAGATTCTCCAATGAAAGGTAACAAAAAGAAAAAGAAGCATAGTGGTGCACATGAACGTTTTCCTTGTAAGCATCGAGAGCAAATGATATGGAGGCCAATATCCACTTCCAAACCTGAAGGAGCTCCTGTTGAGGATAATATTTCTGGTTCGGTTTCAGCAGAGCCCATGGATTTAGTACATGAAAAAAAAATCGCACCTGCAGTACCACAGACGGTTGTTGATCAGGGGAGCACAATAAACTTACCATCCATCAACAAGACTAATGCCCATTCTTTCAACTTCCACAAAAAAATGATAGGCAGACCCAACAGGAAGTGGAAACGCTCCTCTAGTAAATCTTCCTCAGTTGGTTTTTCAAGCTGTTGTCATTTTTCTGTTGGTGGTAAAAGGAAGTCCCTTGAGGTGGAACGTACACATACCCATATTACACAACCTTACAAAAGGAGACTCTTGATCTCACAAAGTAGCTAAGGTTTGGAGGCATTTGGTACTGCCAAGACTATAGTGTCTGGTAAGTTCTCTACCTTTCTGAAGTGTTTTGCGGCGGTTGAACCAGATCAACTGCCTTTGTTTCCATGAATATCCTTTCTTGGAATTGTAGGGGCATGAATAATGTCTCATCCAAATATATATTAGGTAGATTAGTTAAGAATTATAAGCCTAGTATTTTGTTCGTGATGGAGTCCAAGGCTAGTAAGGTTAATGTGTTGGCTTGGCAGCAATCTTCTATTTTTAATAATTTTGTTGTAATAGATCCTGTAGGACTTAGTGGTGGTTTGTGTCTTTTTTGGGTTGATGGTGTTCAGTTAAGTGTGCTTTATCAGAATGCCAATGTAATAGTTACTAAGGTTAAGGAAACTATAAGCCTGGAATGGCTGGCCATTTTTCTGTATGGTCCCCCTACGCAGCAAGACAGGGCTGCATTTTGGTCACATTTAAATGGGATCATCCAGGGTTTTAGATACCCTAGTATCTTGTTAGGGGATTTTAATCAAATCTTAGATCAGGAGGATAAATTTGGTGGGCGTCCAGTTAGGCCTCAAGACACAAGAAACATACAACAACTACTGTCTTCTAATGATTTAGAGGAATTGAAGCATTTGGGTTGTTGGTATATATGGACAAACAAGAGACAAGGGCATGAGGCAATTTTTGAAAGGTTAGATTGTGCTTTTGTCAACAAGCAATGGCTTACCACTTTTAACAAGGCTGTCATAAGGAACCTTCCAATCATGAGCTCGGATCATGGCCCAATTCTTGTGTTACTTAAGCAAAAATGCTCTCAGGAGAGACATAAAAAATTTGAGTAGTTCTGGTTGAATTGTCCTTCTTCAAAGGATTTGGTAACCCAAGCTTGGACTCATTCCCCACTTCATATTAATAGTCCCCGTGATAGCCTCTCATTCCGACTGGATAGAACTTTGTCTACACTCCATCAGTGGAGTAAAAGGCGTTATGGCAACCTGGACACTCTAGTCTTCAAGCTGACTGAGAAATTGGCACAAGCTCAAATGCAATGGGAAAGAAATAAATCAGATGAGCAGCTTAGCATGCAGCTGGAACAGCACCGAGTGGAATTGGAGGAAGCACTACAGCTACAACAGGATTATTGGCATCAGAGGACCAAGCTTACCTGGTCACAATTTGGAGGACAGAAACACCAAATTCTTCCATAAATGGGCTGCTAGAAAGAAAGGGAACAAATGGATCACTGAGCTATGTGATGCTCAGGGTTTGTGGGTTCAAGAACCTGATCAACTTCGCTCTCTGCTTCTGAGTCACTTCTCAAATATTTACATATCAGTGGATTCAAGCTCTCAGAATTCTCAGTCTTCCTCATTCCTCACCAGTCTTCTTGCAAATGTAAGTGAACCTTTGACATCAGATCAAGCAGCTCAGTTAGATGCTTCATTTACAGTGTCAGAAGTGTGGTCTGCCCTCAACCAAATGTCTCCTTGGAAGTCTCCTGGACCTGATGGGATGCTAGCGGGGTTCTATCAACATTACAAGAGCATCATTGGTTCGGACGTCCAATCCTCAATTCTGGATGCTTTCAATACTATGTATTTTCCTCCAGAATGGAACCAGACTCATTTGGTCCTCATTCCTAAGACGTCTACTCCGACCACCCCAAATGACTTCCGTCCAATCAGTCTGTGTAATGTCAAGTATAAGATCATAGCAAAGATGATTGCGAATCGTCTCAAACATGTTATGAATGATCTTATTGATGAGAACCAGAATGGATTTGTTCCAGGCAGAAACATCAGCGAGAACATTCTTATTGCTCATGAGGTCATTAAATGCATAAGGGAGCAAAAAGGTGAGACAGGTTTGGCTGCCAGCAAACTGGATATGAGTAAGGCCTACGATCGAGCCTCCTGGTCTTTCTTACGGGCTGTCCTTTACAAGGCGAACTTTCCTCCTAGACTAATTTCTTTGATCATGCACTGTGTGACTTCAGTCTCCTATTCCCTCCAATTAAATGGCGAAAGTTTACCACCCTTCTCTCCAAATAAAGGATTGAGACAAGGATGTCCTTTGTCTCCATACTTGTTTATCCTTTGTCAGCAGGTCCTATCTTCTGCCAGTACATCAGAGATCCACAACTTTCCAGGTTTAGGAGTGAAAATCAGCCGCCATGCACCCAGGGTGAGTCATCTCATGTATGTGGATGATAGTCTCTCTTTCATTAAGAGCAAGGAGACTTCTGTTTTAGCTTTAACAAGATTACTGGAAAACTACACCTACTTCTCTAGCCAGCGCATAAATTTCCACAAATCTTCAATCCTCACTAGTGCTAATACAAGCCCGGAAATCAAGAACTTCATTCATTCCATTCTCAAGATCCCTACGGGACAATTTCAAAGTAAATATTTGGGAATGAGTCTTGATTTCAAGGAGAAGAAGACGATTATCTTCAAGGAATTCACTTCAAAAATCAGCAGGAAATTTGCTTCCTGGAAGACCAAACTTCTATCATTACCTGTCACCTTGGCCAAATCCACCTTGTCCTCAATGTTGGTGTACCCAATGGGAGTATTCAAGCTTCTTGCTCACACCTTGCATAAGGCTGACCAGATTATGGGCAATTTCATTTGGAAGGGAGATAAACAGGAACATAAAATTCATTGGAGAGCATGGAAAAAAATTACAAAATCTCCTTTTCTTGGTGGTTTGGGTCTCAAAGCTACAAAAGAATTCAATCAAGCACTCTTAGCCAAACATGCATGGAAGTTAATCTCTCAACCCCACTCTCTCCTGGCTAGACTTTTTCGTACCAAATATTGCAATGATGGCACTTTCCTCCGGTACAACCTCCCAAAACTTCCTCCTGGGGTTTCAAGAGTATCATGTGGGGAGCTCAACTTCTGCAAAATCATACTAAATGGAAGGTAATCTCAGGCAAGGATATCCCTATATCAGCAAACTGGATTCCTGATACACAGAACCCGATTGGAATTCATTCCATTTCAGCCATGTCCAACTTGATTGTGGACCGTTTTATTCATCCAAATGGTCAATGGAAGATTCGCGCTCTTAGGAATTTCTTTCCCGATCATATTATCTCTCACATTACTGGGATCTTTATAGATCCGACAAGACTACATCAAGAGGATAACCTCCATTGGACACTTACTGATCATGGGACTTACACAGTCAAATCCGGGTATCAATTGGCCATCAACGCCCTCCTGCCATAGCCCGTACCAAGTCCAGCAACTCAGAATACAGAGAAATTAGCTTGGAAACGACTATGAAATTCTAGAGTTCAACCTAAGCACAAGTTTCTCTTCTGGAGAGCAATACTCAATGCTCTTTCTACTCGGTCAGAACTATGCAAAAAGGGAGTTCAAGTGGACTCATTATACCCCAGATGTGGTAGGCAGGAGGAAGATAGCTTACACTTATTCTTTAAGTGTGAAGCCTCTCGGGCCATCTTGGCCTTGGCTTTTCCTCAGTTTGGCTCGATATTCAATTCTACATATGACTCCTTGCATTAATGGTTCATTCAGTGGACTCAGTCTCATCCAGCTAAAGAGGAGATTGATTTGTTTCTGATCATCAGCTGGAGGATCTGGCTGGAAAGGAATGATAAAATTTAGAGAAACTAATCTCATGATCCGGCGGTATCTTGGAGACTTATCCAAAATGAAGTCACTCTCCACAAGCAAAGCCTTCGAGACTGATAGTTGGAAGACCTTCTCCCAACATACAATCATCACTACCACAGATGGGTCCGACTGGTTCCTTAGTCATTTTTTATGGATCATTTAGCCATCAAACCCGCAAAGCGGCTGGTGCTTGGAAGATACTATCACATCATGGTATGGTGATGCAAATCAAAGCGGTGGACCTAAGTGTGCTTTCTCCTTTTCAAGCCGAGGCAATGACTTGTGTCTTGACATTGAAAGAGGCGTTACTTTTAGGGATCACTCGACTTCAAGTTTATACGGATTGCGAAGCTCTGACTGGAGATTTACGGTCTGCTTTAATACCTTCTGAAGCCCAGGAGGTAGTTTCTTTGTTAGTAACTAGTATTTCCTTATTTCGGCCTTACTCACTGATTAAAGTGAGTAGACAAGATGTTGTAGAAGTTCATAATTTAGCATTCCATAGAATGCGATGTAATAGATCAAGTATTTCTTAATTAATATACAGGTACCTTTAAAAAAAAAAAAATAGATGCACTGTAGGTATTGTAGATGAAACAGTCGCTGTGTATCTGGAGATTGAGGGACCTCTTAATGCTGAAGCTGAGCGCGAAAAACCTCTGAAAAAGGATGGAGGAGACGCAAAAAAAAAAAAGAAAAAAAGTAGATTTTCATCCTAGAATATATCTATACACCGAAATTTCTTTTGTTTGTTGAAAATCTTACCTCCCCGGATTGATTTGAATGGCAGTTTTGTGCTATTCCTCTCGATGTGTTTGAGCATTTTGGCAGGCAATAAGTTGCTTTAGCGAAAACTATGAACGCCCCAGGGTACAAGGAGAAAGTGACACCACATATTCAGACAGAGACTGGAGAGAAACTGGCCTCCCTTGAGCGAAAAATTGAATCTTTTAAGACAGCTTTATGTTATTTGGAAAGTGTAGAGTATGATTATGCCTTTTAGAACTATAAGAATGTAGTTAGATTGGAGATTAGTATTTCCATTCTTTTGTTTGGTAAGTTAGCCTAGTATAGTTGATGATGTGCAGTACATTTGTGATATCTCCATCTCTCCCTTCTTTCCATTATGCTAAAACTAGAAAATTGTGAAGAGTTTTATTGATATTTTTTCTTAGCTCTTGAACATGTACCGAAAGATTGTTAAACGAGTTTTGTATTTTTCTGGAACGCCGCAACAATGAAGCTCAATTTTTACAGGGCAAAACAAAAGCTCCGTTCATGTAAACTTACATAATCTACAATTATATAATTTAAGAGAAAAATACAATAATAGTACAATTATAGCCTATTTTCAAAAAAAAAAAAAAAAACAGTACAATTATAGCCGACAGAATCTAAAGTGAACAAAGAATATACAAACTTTCAAACTAATCGGGATGTCATGGTCTTAGGGGGAAAAACAGCAAACAGCTCACGTACAATTCCAGTAGAATCTGAGTTTCGCACACAAAATCTAACAAGCCAAAAAGAAAAATCGAGGGGGAAAGAACTGAGATCTAATTAAGACTGCGAACAAATCAGCAAAGACCAGGCCGATTATTGGCGGAGAATCGAAGCAACAAACGAACAAAATCTAACCTCACCTCCAAACTGGCTGTTGCGTCTGCTTTCCTTAACAAAAATTACTACGAGGAGTGCTCCAATGGCAATTTTATATTACTACAGCAGCAACGAAAAAACAGAACAGGGTATCTCATCGAGGCAACACAGAACGGAGAAGATGTGTGCAATATTGTAAGACTCCGTTTTACTCTCTCGGACAAAGTTGGCGAAAAGCCGATTAGACAATGAGAGGGATAAAAGTAAAATGTAATTACAATGATATGTTGCACTTAACCGCTGATTCATGGATGTTTAGCAATGAACACTCGTATTCTTTGCCAATGTTAAAAGGATTCCAATTCAGAACATGTAACACAAAGCGAACTCCACAGTTAATATCATAAACTGCTAATATCAACTGAATGCAAAATGCTGATACAATCCGCGTAGCCAAGTTGATTTCGCAGAGAATGACTTATGAGTACAACGTCAAGAACAATAGGTAGCATAACAAAATGACATTACCAAACTGCAAGGTCTTCCTCGTCTCTGCTCCATTCAACATTTTCGATCAATTCAAAAATCATGCCTGGGAACTTTCGGCCGCCCAAAGCATCAACAAACACCAACATATACATTAGCTCGTAAAAAATGATGAAAGACAGGAAAAGATCATATGAAACTCCTCTAAAACACAAAGTAAGACCTATTCAAGTGCAAAAAAAATCCAAGTTACCCGAAAAAAAAATCTTATATCCACATTCAAGACTGTAATTCACACCATTGGACTAATCAAGCATATAGATACGAGAGGCGATATCTTGAACCAACCAATCAAATCCTTCAAGTAAACCCTCTCCAGTATAAGCACTGCATCCCACAATCCGCCAGTGCCGGCTATTATCCATTGCTTCCAAGTCGAGAACCTAATCAAGAAATCAAAAGTTAATACACCTGCCAGTGCAATCTCAATATATGCTACTCCCTTCTTCATAAGAGCAAATCACAGCAAAGAGGTTTTGTATCTTGGAATCTTACTTTAGCTATTTCGTCTGGAGAAAGAGAACCTTCTATATCCTGCTTATTTGCAAGTATCAGTAATGATGCTCCTGATAACCGCTGGAATGCAGAAAAACCAGGAAACAGATTAAAGAATGAAAACATTTCTCCTTACAGTTCCCCCAACTTAAAACAGACAAATATTATTAAACTTGTCCAGTCCTTCAATATCAAGAGTCTTTGACTCAAACAGTTTTCCCGACAATGATAATTGAGCTGGCTTTATTTTACCAGTGACATTGCAAAATGTTAAGTTGCATGTTAATGCTCACATGTCATAAAACTTTATCATCAAGGTAAACGCTTTACTTTCAGTTCATAACCTAAAAGGAAATAGGAACCGGAATAAAATTGCCCATGTCCATTCTCAAATTTTTACCACCTATTTGGAGCCAGTAACGTAAAGAACTACAGCTTGATCAAAACTCTTAATAATCGTGAGAAATGGCCTAAGGAAACAAACAAAAGCTTATAAGAAGTTGAACTAAAGCTGTAGGTAGGCACCAATAAGAGCTTTAGAAAGTACCTCTTCTTTCAAAAGATTATGCAACTCATATTTGCAGTCATCTAGCCTTCTAAGATCCGAACTATCAACAACCCAAACCAATCCATCCGTCTGCTCAAAATAGTTCCTCCAATAAGATCTTATTGTTTTCTGTCCCCCCACATCCCAAATGTTCAAAGTATATCTATCAAGCAAGAAATCAATAGTTCGACATAAATAACTATTGAAATTACAAGTAGAAAAAAATAACAATACAAAATAGAGTGAAATAAAAGTACTCAACAAAGAAGAAAAAGAAAAAGGTGTAAAAGATTATTACTTTTGGTAAGAAATGGTCTTGATGTTGAAACCTAGAGTAGGACTAATAATGCTGGTATCTTCACCATTAATTTTCATGACTATCGTCGTCTTGCCGGAGTTATCCAGGCCACTTTTCACCAAAAAGAATCAGTGAATGAAGATGTAACAACCCATTTACACCAAATGAGTTAAGTAACAAAATGACGCAATAGGTTTAAGTAACATACACCATGAGAATCCGCATTTCCTTCTCTTTGCGCTTGATTTTCCGAATTATACTGAGAAGCCCCATTCTGGAGTCGGAAGAAGGAAGAGAGATCGGTGCGGTCAAGGGGAATTGAGTAACGTGAACTGGGTTTTAAATTAACTGCACAGACAGCTGGTACAATGATCAGAAGAAGAGGTCTGTGAAATTCAGAAATCAAACGGCTGGTACAATGATGAAGAAATTCTCCAGCTTATAGGTGTTTTACAATGGAGAACATAGCTTCACTTCAGACGGAAATAAATCAGAGAAATATGGCATATCAAAAGCCAAGTCTGATTCTCAATTTAGGATCAAAGACAGATTTGGCCACTTGCCACAATAGGAGAATCAACTCTGAAGACAAAGATTGACCACGAATTTACAGACATATAGCATATCAAAAGCAAGGCATGGTTTTGTGTTTAACTTACAAAGAAACTTTACATGCAAATTCAATTACCCTAATGATTTTTCAGAAAGTACAAAATATGAAATATGACCAAATCCATAGTTATTGGCCAAATTTAATTGCCACATTAATGTTGAAATATGTTCAACTATTGAGGCTATAACATACATTTACAAAGGCTATGACAAGATTTTTTGTAGAATTCAACAACAAAGAGAACCTGAAAGGAGCGAGGCTAAGAAAGAACCAACAAATGATGAGATTCAAAATTTCCTTTGTGCTAGAGGGATTTTCAGCCCCTTAAGCAATATGGAGAATTTTTAGTTGACTTTAATCAGGTGTATCCCACTGTAACACCTTTACCAGTTCATTTGGAGAATCAAAACTCAGTAACATTTCCTACTAACCAATCTTTAAGTAATGTAACCAGCAACCCTCTGGTCAGAACTCTGTTAACACAGTTTTTTTACTTGAATAGACATAATTATCACGCTAAAGAGAAAAATCCCCCATATGTTGAATTCCCAGAGTATTTGACTTGGCACAATGACAAAAAAAAGAATGGGAGCCACGTAAACAGAGAAAAGTAATTGGCCGCACTTGACTTGTCACCCATCTGAAGGTGAAAGGTTTTACTTGAGGTTACTCTTAATGCACATTAGAAAGCCATCATCTTATACAGATTTGAGAACAATTCATGGAAAACTATGCAATACATTTAGAGAGGCTGCACAAATGTTAGGATTAATGGAAGACGATAGTACTAGCGAAATGCGTCTTCAAGAAGCTGTAGCTTAGTTAATGCCTAAGGCTTTACGTCAGTTGTTTGCTACTGTTCTTGTCTTCTGTAATCCTTAAAATCCAGAAGAACAGTGGTTAAAATTTGAAAATTTCCTTTCAGAAGATTTTAAACGAGGCAAAACCAACAATCCCAGTGCTGGCAGGCAGATAGTTCTAGACACTCTAACTTACCACCTATATTAAATGTCTAAAACAGTTGAGGATTTTCTCTTCATAAAAGATAGCATTCAGTCAATGTTGCACCATGACCTAACAAAAGAGTTACTAACCCAGACTAACATAATTGTCCTAAGGAAGACCTTCCAGCTATCAAACAACTAAATAGAGAAAAGAAACTGGCTTATGATCGCATAATGTATCACGTTAATAATAACATACCCAGAGTTTTTTTTTTTTTAGACGGTCCCAGAGGTAGAGGAAAAACATTTCTATACAAAGCACTTCTTGATAGACTAAGAAGTTACAAACACATAGCCCTTTCTACAGCCACTTCAGGTGTTGCAGCATCTCTACTCCCAGGAGGAAGAACATCACATTCTAGACTTAAGATATCTTTAGATGACAATAACTCTTTATCCTGCAGTGTTAGCAAACAATGCACTATAGCTCACTAATTGAATGTAGCAAAACTGATAATTGGGGATGAAGCTACAATGGCCAAACGTAATATCATTGAAAATTTTGATGAAATGTTACGAGATATGTGAATTCAAGTAAAATAATAGATGGCAAGATTGTTGTTTTCGGTTAAGATTTTCGCCAAACATTACCAGTGATCATAAATGGTACAAAAGATGATGTTGTTGATGCTTCAATTGTCATGTCTCCCTTATGGTTTCTGTTTGAAAAATTAAGGTTGCAAAAAAATATGCGGGCATTACTTGATCCTAACTTCTCATCTTATTTACTGAAAGTTGGTAAGGGAACTGAGAAGACCAACCAACATGATGAAATCTGAATACCTTCAGCAGTACTATTGATTTTGAAGATGCATTAAATGGTTAAATACATTCATAGATACAGTATTCCCAAATATCAATTATAATTGTGATTTCTCATGCTTTACAAAAAAGGCCTTACTTACTACAAGAAATGGATTTGTACATGACATTAATGACCTTTTAATTAACAGATTTCCAGGAGAAAGAACTGTACACCTGAGCTATGAAAAAAACTCAAAATTTCTACTATAACTCGCCAAGAAGAATTATTTCACTCTTAACACCAAAAGGTCTTCTCCTCATAAATTGATATTGAAGAAAAATGCTCCAATAATGCAAAAGGAATTTGTAATGGTACTCGTCTTTTTTGCACAGATTTTGATAGAAATGTAATTTATGCTGATATTTCAGTAGGACCATATGTAGGAAAACCTGTATTTATTCCTCGGGTAACATTAGAGGCACCACAGAAAAATTTTTCATCAATTCCATTAGGCGTAACAATTTCCAGTACGTCTTTATTTGGCAATGACAATTAATAAAGCACAAGGTCAAACTCTAGACTCTGTCAGTGTTTACTTAAAAGAACCTGTATTTTCACATTGTCAACTCTATATGCATTACCAAGAACAAAAATGATTGATAAATTGAAAGTTCTTATAAGACCACCAACACCATTGACACAAAATACCAAAAATGTTGTTTACCCGAAGGTTTTGGAAGCTGCCAATTCGCTAAATTCAGACTTTCACAATTCATGTCCTTATCACGATAACTCCAACAGGTAAATCTCCTATACCACTATTGGTTCCTTCTGATCTATGCTATTCGTATTACACACTTACAACAAATATGCATATCTCTAATGCCACCGAAATTTGCCTTCCAGGTCCATGAAATTCATTGGCACAGTGTCAAGAACTGGATGCTTTGAGGCTTTCAATCATGTGATTCCATTGGACTTGATCAAATCAGCTTTGGATGCTATGAATGGGATTTTTGGAATTCACAAGAGTAAAACAAGATTTTGACAAGATCATCAGAAAAGACATATGGTTTCGAAGATTTACATGGAGAAGGAAAACAGGAAAAGAACATTAATGAAGAATTCATTTCGTGCAAAGATGAAACCTTGAAGAATAAAATCTCGAAAACCTTGCCACTCTAATCTTCAAACTTCAGATTACTTAAATCAACTAAAAAGTTCTTATTTTGGCCCTTCATTTCTTACTCAAATTTTCTAATGCTAATGCCAACATTTTGCAATGTTCTTCATTGATCAATTACAGTGAAAAAATGGAAAAAGCTGATCCCAAGGATAGAGAATATGGCAAAGAAGATTCGGCAATTCCTAGAGCAGAATACTCATTCATTTGTGACAAGTAACTGAGTAAATGTTATTAACAATTAGCAGGTTATGATGAATAGAGAACAATCTGGGAGTTCTTCATTAATGTTCTCCTTTCCACCAAATGATTGACTCATAATAATTGGCAGATATTTTTGCTCTAAAAAAAATATGGTTGGACTATAATACTTGACTAACATTTTGTTCTCCTTCCTTAAGAGTCCAACAAATTTTTTTTTTTTTTTTTGGTCCAACAATATTCCAGCAACTTGAGAGACAGATGATTTCTTAAAAACTTTTTCATCAAAAACAGGGTTACTCTGTAAAATGATTTTGTGCTCATGTAGGTTTGGATAACTGTTAAGGCAGCGGAAAAATATTGCATAGGAATTAAATTCCAAAATAATAAGCAGTTTTCTTACAGTTGTTTCCCAAAATTTTGGACTGATTGACAAGCAATTCAAAATCTCATGACCTCTAACAAAGAAGTAGAGTTGAAGATCTGTAGGTTTCTTACCATTTGCTGGTGTTAGTTCATCCATAAAATGGTAAAGCGGATCTTGCACTCAAAATGTATAGATACCTTCATTTCTTGTTGCCAAGATCTCTCAGAATGTACTTACAAGTGAGATGAATTCAAACATGTTATTGTAACAACAGAAACAATTACGGAAGTCCTTGGTATCTGCAGAATTGCCAAGCCACAAGTCTACTAATTTAGCTGGCATTTGTGTTCCAAACAATTTTATGTCTCCAGATGAACAACAAAAACCTGGAGTTTCTGAGTGGATACGCTTCGCATTACGAATTTTACAGTTTGGTGTCCTGGCCAACAAATCAGGACTACTGACTACGCAACTTAAGGGGCCAACATTAACACTCTGGTTTGTATTAGCAGGAGAAATTTTTAACTGTTGCCGCACTTGTTGATTTTTTATTACCTGATACTCTTCAAAACAGCTAAATTTTCTCTTGTGTGACCTTGAGTTTCTCCTATTTGTTCTACTTCTGGAAAATTGTGATTTTCTATTACATTCAATTTGCCAATCTTATGAACAGAGACCATCTTTCTCTTCTCTCTTAGTTTTTGGTTTTTCATCAACGTTCCTCTAAGGAAGAGTATTTTCTTTTGGGTTCTGTCGATGACCCTCCTATCTGCCATTACATTGGGATATTTTGATTTTTTTCCGTGGCATTTTATTCTTTTTTTTTTCTCTTTTTGGTGTAGACGATTAAAAGCACCATACCAAGGAGTCTAACTACTCTTGACACTGACAGCAAGTTATATAAGGTAAATAAATTAAAGTATGATAAACAAAGGAAACTAACAAATTTGCAATTAGAACTAAAAAGCAAGTTGCACATCAAATTACTTCCAAAGTAAAGAAAGAAAGAACATATGCACATATATAATTACGATTGAAAGGCATACCTCAACAGTGCTGAAGTACAAAGAGCAAACAAGTTTCAATTGATCCAATGGCGTAGCTAATTGGTGCTGAACTACAAGAAGTTAACACTTGCGAACAACTAACACAACAATTGC